CGTGTACTTCGCTTAATGAGACCATCATGGTAAGCAACATGTAAGAGTATCTTCCTTGTACCGGCACTCTGCGTGCTCCGTCGTGAGCGCTTCTAGAACAAATGAAGCAGCCGACCACCCGCGCCCGACCACAGCGATCACACCCTCCTGCGGTCACATGACGCCGGCCACTCGTCCATCCCTGGACCCCGACAACGCGCCAGACACCGCGTCAGGCGTTAAGGAGGCAGAGGTGGGAATACCCTGCCCTCGGGAAGCTCCCCGTTGGGGAGCCGGAGAGCAGACACAAGGCAAATAGCGCAGGAACCGCTGCTGGGCCCCCCACGGGACGCGACGCCAGCCCTCCGCCTCCCGGAGCCTCGTCTTCCCGGTGGGGAGCTACAGCGCGCCGTCCGGACTAAGCACGGCCGCGGACGGCGCGACGGCGCCGAGGCTCAGCTTCCTCCGGCCTCTGGGCTCACGCGGCGCGAAGACCCCCGCGTCCCGGCCGCGGATCCTGTAACCCGCAGGGGTCCCCTGGGCGCCCCGGACCCGGCCCGCCGCTCGCCTCCCTCACTCCCCGCCCCACTCACCATGTTGCGAGGGAGGGCGCCGCCCTCAGGCCGCGCGGGCCTAGCCCAGGGAGCTTCGCCGCCCCAGGCGCGGCCGACCCGGACGGGAACTGAAGGTTCTAGGTGACCGCACCACCGGCTTCTGAGTCGGAAGGATAACTGGGAAGGACCAGAAGTGAGGGACCGGAAGCGAAATGGAGAATTGACCCGGGGAGGGGGAGAAAACGCAGGCGAGCTCCCGTAGGCAGCCCTCCCTAGGCGTCTGGACCTCGCACCGACACGCCCGTACGGAAAATAGGGGCGCTGGCCGAACCGCGCTTGCGCAGTGGAACCGACGCGCCTCTAACTGGGCGCGGGGCGCTGGTTTTGCTCTCGCGATGACAACGGCGAGACGTCCCGCGGTAACTTGGTACTGCACACGCGGTCCCCCGGTTGTGTGTGAGGCTACCCGAGATGTGTGTGCAACTATAGGTGCGCATCCCTCCTGCCCTGTCTGGTTCTGCGAGAGCAGACACGCCCTGTGGAAGTTACTCGTCCTCATCCCTCTGAGTGGACGGGGCCGCTGGACTGGGCCCTCCCCCCGTCTGCGTGCTTTCCAGGGGCAGGAGCTGGCTCGGCCGCGCCAACCCCCACTCGCCTCCCAGGCGTTTACTTGCGGCCTGTGCTTTTTCTGAAATTTTCTCCTCCTGGAATCAAGGGGTCTGTCGGAGCTGGACCCGGGCTTGAGGTCACCCTTTTAAAATAAGAAATGTAAGGTCCAGGGGAGATGAGAGAGGGACAGTCAGCCGGTGTCTGCTGGGCACGTTGCGGGGATCAGAAGGGCCACAGACCAGGACCAGGGAGGCAGGGGAGAGGCCACCGGTAGGGAGGTTCTGGTGGCTCCTCCCTCAGGGTGTCAGTGATGGAGCGAGCTGTGGTGTGACATTAGGGCGGGGGCCAGTGGCTACCTCAGCCATTTCCAGCGGCTCCCCCTTTGCAAGCATGGTGGTTCGCTGTGGCGACTTGCTCCGCCACGGGGCCTAACCGATGCCGGGAACTCCCGGCTGCAGGCGGGAAGCACAGGCCAGCGGGAGAAGCAGCTGACGTGTGTGGTTCAGGCTCAGTCAGGACAGACATGTACTTGGGAGAGCCACCAGGAGCTCGTGCCTGAACCATGACAAGTTTTCTCCTTAAAAGTTTAGGCCGTTCTGCTAGACTCCATCGTCCCACCTCCCTGACGGCTAGGTGTGGGTTTGCCAGTAAATAATGGCCAATGGGAATTGAATGAAAGGAATGTGTGCCACTTAGGCGGTGCCCTGAGAAGTATGGACGTGCCTTGCCCTTTTCCCCTCTCTGCTGACTGGTGACTATGGGAGCAGCCACCGTGAAGGAAGAAATGAAGTATTTTGAGAATTGGGGGGTTCCCTTCCAGGCTGACAGCCACTTTCAGACTCCAAAGGCAGATTAATCCTTAGGATTTGGTGACATCACTGCGTTGATGAGAGAGTCTCTGCCTGGAGCCCACTACTCCATCTTCAGTTGTATGAACCCATAAATTCCCTTTAGTGTTGCGGCCAATAGTCAGACTTCCCGGTACTGGAAACTCAGAGCATCCTTCCTGATCCACTTATCTTGCCAGTCGGCTAAGTGTCCTTCCTCCCTAGGCTCACACTGACCCTGTCTTTGTCGTCAACTGTCCCTGTTGCCTGCAGAACCCTTCTCCTCCATCCAGCCGCCTAATCCCCTGTTCATGCCTGCGTATCGTTTAAGGCAGTTCAGACAGCCTGGATTCATAACCTGATTCCAGCGCTTCTTAGCTCTGTGGCCTCAGATGACATACTCAACCTGTTTAATTTTTACTCTGCTGTGAAATTGGCCTGAGTATTTACCTTCCTGTTCTCATTTTACCTCATCCGTGAAATTGGGACATTTGCCTTAAGCAGCTGTGGTTTTAAAGGAGACACTACACACAAAAACTGCTCAAAACAGATCTATGTCAAGTTCTCAACTATTTCAGATACAAAAGCCCCATGCACTGCAGTCAGATCTGCTGTGTGGGCTCACCTAACTCCCATGTACCGTCAGCTGGCCAGGCTCAGGGGCTTGCAGGGCTTTGTAAAAGCTCTCTTAGGGGCTTCCCTGGTGGCGCAGCGGTTGAGAGCCTGCCTGCCGACGCAGGGGACACGGGTTCGTGCCCCGGTCCGGAAAGATCCCACATGCCGCGGAGCGGCTGGGCCTGTGAGCCGCTGAGCCTGCGCATCGGGAGCCTGTGCTCCGCAACGGGAGAGGCCACAACAGTGAGAGGCCCTCTTACCGCCAAAAAAAAAAAAGGAAAAAAAAGCTCTCTTAGCCTTTAAATCACTATGTTTAAGATCGACAGGCCTGCCCTTACTGTAATCCTCTCGCTTCCTATGTCCACCTCCACACCCACCTCAGGCACAGGTCTGACATGGAAGATTTTATGGCTGAATAAAGGGCACGTACAAGGCTCTGCTGCCTTCTGTTCGGGCCAACAGCCCCAGCTGATGCTGCTTCCTAGTGACCCTGTGTGCTGTAACAGCGTTTTTGTAGTAAGCGTCTCTGTACTCATATCCTAATATCAACCATCTATGTCTATATATTTTATCAACCGTAAAAGATGCTAAAATTAGGAGATTCACTATCAAGGGACGTGTGCTCTGGAGGAAAAGCCAAGGGTGTGGGTGGGCAGCCCTTTTCTAGTGTCTCAGAAGGATTAAAAGGACAGATGGCTTTTGGAAGAGATTAGGTATGTGACTCATGGGTCCCCTCAACCATTTCAGCAGAAGCCAGGAAGAGATGGGATTATCCAGAAATGATCCGTGGAGAAACCTCTTGTGTAACAGAGCGAACTCCCATGACATACACAGGAGACGCCCTAGGCTGAACATTTTACACCAGCAGAACCACTGCCAGCTTGGACTTCAAGGGACAGAGAGGGAACAAAACGAAAGGCTGTTCAACTCAAATTGCAGGGGCAGCAAACAGACTGATGAAAGTAGGCAACCGTAAACCGGTGCCACCCTTCATGGGAAAGAATGGATGGCTCTGGGGGAGGCAGCTCAAGCAGAGGAAATGTTCAGGCCTTAAAACCTAATATCGGGCTCCCAGACTGATGAAAGTAGGCAACCGTAAACCGGTGCCACCCTTCATGGGAAAGAATGGATGGCTCTGGGGGAGGCAGCTCAAGCAGAGGAAATGTTCAGGCCTTAAAACCTAATACTGTCGGGCTCCCCTGGTGGCGCAGTGGTTGAGAGTCCGCCTGCCGATGCAGGGTACACGGGTTCGTGACCCGGTCCGGGAGGATCCCACACGCCGCGGAGCAGCTGGGCCCGTGAGCCATGGCTGCTGAGCCTGCGCGTCCGGAGCCTGTGCTCCGCAGCGGGAGAGGCCACAACAGTGAGAGGCCCGCGTATCGCAAAAAAAGAAAAAAAAACCGAATACTGTTTGCCCTGCTGGATTCTGTAACTGGATTCTGAGACCAATGATGCCTTTTCCTTCCACTGTCTCCCATTGTCAAAGGTGGTGTCCTCTGTCCGACTGCTGGTGTTCTATGCCTCCCATTGATTTGGGGGAGCAGATAACCTTAAAACAAGTTATAAAACCACAGACAGGAGTTTTGCCCTGGGATGGATCATACCCAGATCTCACCCATACGTGACTTAAGACAATGAGATTGGGGACTGTGGAGCTGATGACATTTAGATGAGACTTAAGACTGTGGTAGGCTGACACTCTCAGTGATGTTAGGATGAGGTGAATGCATTTTGCATGTGAGATGGCTGTGAATCTTGAGGGAACAAAGTGCAGCCTGAGGTAGCAGCATACCCTCCCCCTTTATGTATGTGTCCTGATCCCCAAACCCTGTGAACGTTACCTTATACTGCAAAAGACTTTGTAGATGGGAAAGTAATACAGTGGTTGATTCCTTGTAATCAGAATAGATGTTCAAACATTCTGTTCTTAGGGGAAAATAAGGATGTGACAATATGAGAAAAAAATAATAAAAAGCAATTCATAAAAGGCCATCAGTTTGTAATTTTGGTAAGAAAAGTCAAACGTTTACCAAAAGTTATGGACACTTGTGACTACACAGGTGTGTACCTATTTTGCCTGTGAAGAAGTAAATAGAAACGTATCAAACAATCCAGAAAATTCATAAACTATACAAAGAACAAAAAGCATGCTGAACACCTGTGGCCTACTATAAAAACATATTTTAAGAACCCTTCGTTTCTTGAATAAAGGGTTCCAACATTTAAAATGTCTGAAAGATAGCGATTAAAAGAGACTCACCATGTATTAATCTATTAAGAGGAACTGTTCTGAAAGAGGGTTCAACCTCACTTCTAGAATCTCAGGTTTTAATCGACTTCGCGCCTCTGTGCCCCAAACTAGAGTTAACCAGCCAAAAGTACCAGAAACTCCCATGCTCATGAGATGGCATTCTTTTGGGTCTCATAGGAGTATTAACATCCAAGAAAATAATAAAAATGGAGTATGGTACAATCCTTAGGAAGGGGTATGACTGGAGCATCCCAAAGTTATAAGAAAAATTTTAGTTATTAACAAAACTTTAATCCATTATATCTGTAGTGTTTGTTTCAAATTGTCAAAGCCAAATCACGTTTCTAACCAAAGTTTAAATTGTGAACTAATTGGGAATCAAGATCTAAATGCCCAAGAAAAACTGATTTTCAAAATGTGGCTCAGGTTTAGCCAAGAATGCATTAAACACACTTTAGCACAGTAGACGGCTCCCCCTGCACACCCCAGCCCTGGAGAGTGTCTCCACAGCAGAGCCGAGCCAGGAAGCTGCTGTCGTCCTTGGGGGGACAGGGCTCTTCTCCAGTTCTCTGCAGCACCACCTCCTCCACTTCCCAGCTCACCAGCTTCACCCACATCAGCTTTTGCCTTCCAGCCTCCAGAGTTAGCGGCTGGACACTAAGTGTCCCAGAGCTGGCTCATCCAGTCCCATTTCAGACTTGCCCAACACTGAGAGGTATTCCTCTCAAGTGGCATGCAATCTGGTGGCACAGCAGGAAGAGTTTGAAAACAAACAATAGGTACCACTGATTATTCTACCAAGTGGTAGGCCCTTTACCAACAACGTCTCACGTCATCCATCATAGTGATTCTTCAGTATAGGTTTTT